GACAACAATGATTGTTCTTATCTTTAGGGTCTCCCATTAATGAAATTGATTGTTGTCAAATTTTATTTTGGGGGAAAAAATGTTTTTTTGGTTGTTCTTTAGAACTACCCCAATCCCTGAAAAAGAGCCAAATTAGACCAGGCCGAATATGGGAAAGGTGACAAAAAAGCCCATAACTTGAGAATGGCCACTCTTTTCCTCTTCAGATTTGCTGAGGTATGAACCAGGTGGCTGTCCTACATCACCAAATAGTCAGACAATTATTTAACTAAAAGAATACTGAATTATAGTCCTGTAAACTTAGCTTTAGTTTAGACGGAAATTGTACTTTTGGTGATAGGAACATAGGACTCAATCACTTTTCTCTCATTTATCAGAAAAACAGAAATCCCTAAATATACCATTACTGAATTGTCTAGGGTGCTATTGAACACTAACCAGTAGTTGTATGGAAATATCTGGTACAGTTCTATTGCAAATTAGATTTCTTTAGACATACAGTAGGCCTACCTCTTCTCTGATACAGTCAAATTCCGAATGGGGGATAAGTGGCATACTGTAATAGCCTATAAGTTAAGAATGCTCACTCTGATGGTCATTATATTTGGAGAGGGAAATACCAGGTGGCTGAACTACATCACCAAATAGTCAGAATAAGATTAACCCAATAAAATAAAGTGTATTAGTTCTAAATTGCAAGCCTCTAAAACATAGGTGTACATAGTACAGGTTGTATTGAAACTGGAACCTTCATTCAGGACTCCAACAGGACTCCATAACAAGGGTTTGGGTTCTGGCTGTGACACCATATCGCTGAAACATTGCTCTTTACATGTTGCTGAAATGCATCCTCTGTTGGCGGCAGATTTTTCGAGGCTGCATCTGTTGTTGATGCAATTATGAACCTCAGTTCATCCAAGTTTGTGCACATCAGTCCATTTCCCTTTTTCTTTTTTCTATATAGCAGAAGCGCAAATTCTCTTGAGACTGGCAAAGACTCTTCCAAGCTGGCAGAGAGTCCAAAATGGGCCAGATCTTTGAGCTCGCTGAGGGGTCTTGAGTTTGGTGAATGCTGTTGTCTTTCCTATTCTGTACAAACTACTTGCTGTGCCACAGCCAGTGAGTGCATGACATGCTGGTAGACAGTTAGACATGTGGTTGCCGCCCAGCTTCAGGACCATCTCCAACTAAACGGCCTCTTTGAGAAATTCCAGTCCGGTGCCCGTTCCGCCCACAGCACTGAAACAGAATATGTACACTAACACTTGACCCTAAACACACACATGCACGTGTGCAATATGTGGTGTGTTTGGGGCCATAGAATAACATTACAACAGGATTGTACGGTTATGAATGCATTATAAGTTAGTTATGATGTAGTTAAAACATATTGGATGATAGTCATTATTTTTGAGTGTTTTGGACTGAGTTAAATCATGGGTCAAAATTGACGCTTCGTAACAGCTTTCGAACACAACACAAGGGTTAACACAAACGAATATAAAATAACAAAACATAAATAAAATCACATACAAATGTATTCTAAAATAGTGAGTTGTAAAAAGTGATTTAAAAGAGCTGAAAATTATTTTATAAAACTGCATAGAATATTTGTTATGCTATTTCTTTAGCACATTTAACATGTTCACCTTCTTTCCATGTCTCCCCCTTCCCTGCTCCCTCTCTGTTGATCATAGCTGTAATTGATGTACGTCAACACTAGAGGGAGCCGTTGAACCAAGTATTAGTAAAGGGATTGCAAGAGGTTTGATTCTGGTTTGTAATCGCTTCATCAGTTTCTGTAGCAGTTTAAAGTAGAGACACTACATACTGATATACACCTGAACATCATCAGGAGAGGACTCTTTAAAGCAGAGACACTACATACTGATATACACCTGAACATCAGCAGGAGAGGACTCTTTAAAGTAGAGACACTACATACTGATATACACCTGATCATCAGCAGGAGAGGACTCTTTAAAGTAGAGACACTACATACTGATATACACCTGAACATCAGCAGGAGAGGACTCTTTAAAGTAGAGACACTACATACTGATATACACCTGAACATCAGCAGGAGAGGACTCTTTAAAGTAGAGACACTACATACTGATATACACCTGAACATCAGCAGGAGAGGACTCTTTAAAGTAGAGACACTACAGACTGATATACACCTGAACATCAGCAGGAGAGGACTCTTTAAAGTAGAGACACTACATACTGATATACACCTGAACATCAGCAGGAGAGGACTCTTTAAAGTAGAGACACTACATACTGATATACACCTGAACATCAGCAGGATAGGACTCTTTAAAGTAGAGACACTACATACTGATATACACCTGAACATCAGCAGGAGAGGACTCTTTAAAGTAGAGACACTACATACTGATATACACCTGAACCTCAGCAGGAGAGGACTCTTTAAAGTAGAGACACTACATACTGATATACACCTGAACATCAGCAAGAGAGTACTCTTTAAAGTAGAGACACTACATACTGATATACACCTGAACCTCAGCAGGAGAGGACTCTTTAAAGTAGAGACACTACATACTGATATACACCTGAACATCAGCAGGAGAGGACTCTTTAAAGTAGAGACACTACATACTGATATACACCTGAACATCAGCAGGAGAGGACTCTTTAAACTAGAGACACTACATACTGATATACACCTGAACATCAGCAGGAGAGGACTCTTTAAAGTAGAGACACTACATACTGATATACACCTGAACATCAGCAGGAGAGGACTCTTTAAAGTAGAGACACTACATACTGATATACACCTGAACATCAGCAGGAGAGGACTCTTTAAAGTAGAGACACTACATACTGATATACACCTGAACATCAGCAGGAGAGGACTCTTTAAAGTAGAGACACTACATACTGATATACACCTGAACATCAGCAGGAGAGGACTCTTTAAAATAGAGACACTACATACTGATATACACCTGAACATCAGCAGGAGAGGACTCTTTAAAGGTTAAACGCACCATGTTCTGTAGTTTGTAATGTCACCAGCAGTCATTTTCTCTTAAACTTTTCAATTGGAAAGTTATGATAACCTTCTCCTGCTCCTCATTCATTCCAAGTTATTGAATGTATCTACAACTCAGTGAGGGTCTCAGGTGTTGAGGTGTAAAAGGTCTGCTGGCGGCGGTTAGTGGTTTCACTCTGCATTAGTTATTGATGAGAGACAGGAATAACCTGAGGGATCAATGAGATCTGATGTTCCTCCTCTGAGACGCACTCCACACTGTATTCAGAGGCCTCCGCACAGCATCAGTGAAAATGTATAAATGACAGTACACAGGCGGTTTAAGATAAGATAAGATAGGACTTTATTTATCCCAAAGGAAATTGTTGTGCCAGAGTTACAAAGATACAATAAACACAGCAGCACAAGAATAAACTGTACACTAACAGTGCTGTAAAAAGAGCAATTAAATAACTACAAGTAACACGGTCACATAATTAATATAAAAAACTGTACAGTGACGAGCAGTATTTAGTAGTGCAAAGAAACGTAGTGGCAGATAAGTAATTGCACATTATATTTAGACCTTTAGATATCTTAGTGATGTTGAATCTGTATAATCAAAGGATAAGTGGAGCTAAATAAAACCCACTATTGGAAAGGGAGAACCTCAGAAAGCAGAATAAGGCCTCTTTAAAAGCACATTCCCTCCAGTCAGGAAGCAGTTCAGTTCATTAGAGAAAGTTCATTCAATAAAAAGAATTCTCAAGACTCATTTAATCCTATAAATCACTTTTGTCTAATCCATTTTGTTCAAGGATTAACAACCTCAAGAGAACCATTGAATACAAATAAAAAAGACATTGAGTACATCCCTAAATTAAATGACACAGTCAGGTCAGAGAGTGTGGAAGTGTGTCTTTTAAATATTACAGTAAAAATGATGAACAATTTACCCGTTATATCCACATTGCTGATGTTGACTCAGGTTGAGGTCGAACAGGACACACTGTGTGTGTGTGTGTGTGTGGTGTGTGTGTGTGTGTGTGTGTGTGTGTGTGTGTGTGTGTGTGTGTGTGTGGGTGCGTGTGTGTGTGTGTGTGTGTGTGTGTGTGGTGTGTGTGTGTGTGTGTGTGTGTGTGTGTGTGTGTGTTGTGCTGTGTGTGTGTGGTGTGTGTGTGTGTGTGTGTGTGTGTGTGTGTGTGTGCGTTGTAGTGTGTGTGCGCTCTCTCTCTCTCTCTCTCTCTCTCTCTCTCTCTCTCTCTCTCTCTCTCTCTCTCTCTCTCTCTCTCCTCTCTCCTCCTCTCTCTCTCTCTCTCTCTCTCCTCTCATCTCTCTCAGTCTCCTCTCTCTCTCTCTCTCTCTCTCTCTCTCTCTCTCTCTCTCTCTCTCTCTCTGCAGCCAAACTGAACCTCTGTGTTTCTCTCCTCTGATTGGTCGCAGGAGAGCCCGTCTCCAGAAATCACTGTAATCCTCTTAGATAAAAACAGAGCCATCGTCCAATCCCCTGCCTCCATTCCCACCCTCCCTCCCTCCTCCCTCCTCTCTCTCCTCCTCTCTCTCCATGGGGAAGAGCAGATTTTAATCCAAGTGGATTACGTTGCAAATTGGGTGACAGTGGAGGCGAGCGGCTGCAAAATCTGACGCATACTTCATGTCTTCCTAAATATCTGCAAGTTGGGGAAATAAACCCTCTTCTGGTTTCATGAGGAGCAACTTGAAAAAACACACAGGGAACATCTTTCAATGGAGAAACCAAGAAGGACTACTTTTAATCCATGAGATGAAGAGTTTCTCCTTCCAAAACTAGACTTTGAATCTCCACCGTCGCTCCAAAGAGTCTCTCTGCTGGAGGTTTCCTGTGGGAGGATGAGAAGATAAAACCCTGAGGAAGATGCCGACAGCAGGACACTTTTATCCAGGGATGACGGAGATCATTCAGGGTCAGAAACTTGTCGCTGTGACCCTCGTCTTCCTCGCCTCCTCTCTTTAGGCAACATGAGGAAGCCGTTCCCTACGAGCGCTCTGAGATCCTCCTGAAGTCTCTGAAGAGCTGTTCGGGTGAAGAGTCCTGCAGGATGGAGGGAGTGAGGAAGAGCCTGGGAATTCTGGGATTCCTGTGCCTGTGGATTACGGCTCAGGCTCAGATGAAGATCCCCCCGGAGACGTGAGTGAAAACTGTAAACCCTTCACATGCAGGAGGCTCCTTCACACCTTCAAGCACTGTAACATATCTTAAAGCTGCTACTGGGCATTGTCAACACTTATTTGGAAACATAGAAGTTCTGCACGGTGAACTACGCTGCTGAAAAGACTTCCCACATGAATGCTTCTTTTGTAGGGAGTATTGAGGGCATGAAAGGATGCTAACATGGATATTTACTTTGTACTTGTACTTGCCAAAGATCCATTCAGATATAAAAAGGTCTCTAGCTGAATATTCATGATTCAGTATCTTTCAAATCTGACAGATGATGGCTGTATTATTCTCCAACTTAACTTAAATCCAATTTAAACTAAGCTGCACTCTTAAAATCTTCCCTGAAAATCACTGGCCCTGTTTTTTTATTTGAGAAAACTATTAAAACCGTAAGGGAAATATTTTATAGTACTAGTATTTTTGGTACTCAGATCTTGTACTTGAGTAAAAGTAGAAGTACTCAGATCTTGTACTTGAGTAAAAGTAGAAGTACTCAGATATTGTACTTGAGTAAAAGTAGAAGTACTCAGATCTTGTACTTGAGTAAAAGTAGAAGTACTCAAATATTGTTCTTGAGTAAAAGTAGAAGTACTCAGATCTTGTTCTTGAGTAAAAGTAGAAGTACTCAGATCTTGTACTTGAGTAAAAGTAGAAGTACTCAGATCTTGTACTTGAGTAAAAGTAGAAGTACTCAAATATTGTTCTTGAGTAAAAGTAGAAGTACTCAGATCTTGTTCTTGAGTAAAAGTAGAAGTACTCAGATCTTGTACTTGAGTAAAAGTAGAAGTACTCAGATCTTGTACTTGAGTAAAAGTAGAAGTACTCAGATCTTGTACTTGAGTAAAAGTAGAAGTACTCAGATCTTGTACTTGAGTAAAAGTAGAAGTACTCAGATCTTGTACTTGAGTAAAAGTAGAAGTACTCAGGTCTTGTACTTGAGTAAAAGTAGAAGTACCAGAGTGTAGGAATACTCTGTTACAGTAAAAGTCCTGCATTCAAAATGTTCCTCAAGTAAAAGTAGAAAAGTATTCTCATCAAAATATAGTGAAAGTAGCGACAGTGAAAGTAGTCATTGTGCAGATTGGTCCATTTCAGAATAATATATATGATATGTTTTATAATGATTGATCATGAAAGTGTTCTCAAAGCTGGTAAAGGTGCAGCTAGTTTGAATGACTTTGTATACTGCAGGGTAGCTTGTGGATTTACTCCAGGTGGAACTAAAGTCTGATTTAACACTTGATTATATTTCACATCATTCATCCACATCTGTGAAGTAACTAAAGGTATTAAATACATGTAGTGGAGTAGAAGTACACCATGTACCTCTGAACTGTAGATGAGTAGAAGTACAAAGTAGCATAAAATAGAAATACTCAAGTAAAGTACAATTATCTGTTGTGTGTGGGTGTGTGTGTGTGTTGTGTGTGTGTGTGTGTGTGTGTGTGTGTGTGTGTGTGTGTGTGTGTGTGTGTGTGTGTGTGTGTGTGTGTGTGTGTGTGTGAGCAGCAGATGTACTGGGGCCGATCCCAGTGTGTGTGGATCTTTAAAGAAAGCTTATAGGACCTAAATGGACACGTTCCAGATTAATTAAGCGTCAGAAAACAACCTCCCAGAGTGCACTGTGTTTTCCTGACGGTCCTGAGGGAGAGGGTCAGCTGACGGCCGGTCCCCTCAGGATTCACTGAAATCTGCTCTCTGTTTCTGAGAGAGCAGCATCTGCTTTAAATGTAAAGTCTAATAGCGATGTGAAAAATATTGAAAGGACAAGTCTGTTTACTGTAGACTCCTGAGCTCACATGAGCCTTCCAAAGAACATCCATTACATTCATCTGTTATTCCAATTACTGGTATAAAGACTATTCTGCACTATTTCTACTATATTCTATTTTATTGTATTTACTTGCACTATTATCTGTATTGCTGTGTTGCTCTGTTGGAGGAGCCTGTGACCTCAGATGTTCATTGTCATATCTCCACTGTAGCTACGTACACATGATGATAAAAGCCTTGAACCTTGAAAGCCTAAATACGAGCAGGATGTTTAATTCAAGTAAATTCTAGGCGTTATCATCATGTTCACAGTGTGTGTGTGTGTGTGTGTGTGTGTGTGTGTGTGTGTGTGTGTGTGTGGTGTGTGTGTGTGTGTGTGTGTGTGTGTGTGTGTGTGTGTGTGTTTGTCTGTGTGTGTGTGTGTGTGTGTGTGTGTGTGTGTGTGTTTGTCTGTGTGTGTGTGTGTGTGTGTGTGTGTGTGGTGTGGGTTTGTCTGTGTGTGTGTGTGTGTGTGTGTGTGTGTGTGTTTGTCTCTGTGTGTGTGTGTGTGTGTGTGTTTGTCTGTGTGTGTGTGTGTGTGTGTGTGTGTGTGTGTGTTTGTCTCTGTGTGTGTGTGTGTGTGTGTGTGTGTGTGTGTGTGTGTGTGTGCGTGCGTGCGTGCGTGCGTGCGTGCGTGCGTGCGTGCGTGCGTGCGTGCGTGCGTGCGTGCGTGCGTGTGTGCGTGCGTGTGTGCGTGCGTGCTTCCCTATAGCAAGTGGTACTGCTCTGCATGAATGAGGCGTGAATGGGTGAATGACTCGTAGTATGTAAAGCTTTGAGGGGTCGAGAAGACCTGATAAAGAGATGTATAAATACAGTCCATCTAGTATTTACCATCACTACTGACTAACACCAACTTTATCCCGTCACTTACCTTCAGACATTCCTGTTAAAGGTCATAAACAGATTAAATATCCTCACTTTCCAGATCCATTCACATTGACCTCAAATGACCCCAGAAGAACTGTGGCAAAAAAATACAATAAACTGCAAGACACTGGATCAAACCAAAAATCATCAGAGAATGTGTCTAATCTACCTTTCAGCTATAAGCATGTCAAGATAATTACAACTGTATCCCATCACTAACCCTGAATCAGCACTTTAAAGAGGTCAAAAAAACATCCATAGCGTCCTCACTTTCCAGATCTAAACTCTGAAAAGGAGGCTAACAGGAAAACATGAGGGACAAGTGCACAAAAAGAAACCAGACGAACTGTGCCGTTAGAAAAAACAGAAAACGGTGAACTATCAAGAAAGAGATACGTAGAAGTATTACGAAAGATAAGAGGAATATGTTGAAAGTAAACAGCCAGGTAACTGTTGTGTAAGTGTAGATTGCAGAGAGTTATTTTGTATGTATACAAGATGTTAGATAAAGCTGCCTATATCAACTTTGCATGACATTTACAATAAATATATAGCTTATTATATTCTTTTTCTTCAAATTCCTCAGTAACTCGTCCTCATTGCACATTGTTAACTGTGACTCCCAGAGCTCACTTGTCAGACAGTCCGTGAGTTTACCTCGGTAATGCTAACGGCCTCATTAGCATCAAGCTGTCAGACAGTGTTAGCGATAGCATTACGTTTAGCTGCAGCTGCCCGGGTCACCTTCCCCCCCCGACCCTCATCTCCAGGCCTAAACACAGAGAGCCGTGTCACCTGGTTATAAATTAGAGATAAAGAAATGCATTATGTTGTGCCTTTGGTCCACATGGTTCTGTGGACAAACAGAACAAACAATAACAACAACATGACAGCACGCGGCGTGGCTACAAAAGAACAAATGTTACATAAAACAAAGGGGGGCATTCACAAAAAGGCTCCCAGTTTACATAACTTAGGTATTATAACAACTGTAATTACCTTTCTGGTGTTGTTCACTTAAAAGTAACAAAAAGCCTGTCTGTAGTTTAGGTTCAATTCCTATTCAATTCAAACTACACATGCTTTCATGTATGGACACCAGTTGGCACAATCAACCCAAAAAGTTGGTTAAAATGTGTGATTTTGAACAAAAACAAACGACATGTCCCAGTAGAGTTTACTGTAGACTCTACTGTAGAGTTTACTGGGACATGTCCTCACTGAGTTGAGGCAGAAAATGCAAATATGACCCTAAACATGAGAATAGGGCCCCTTTAAATGCTGTGGAACTCAGTAAATCCTGTCCCTCGTCGTATTGCAGCTACAGCTCAATAACAGCAGCTGAGTCACACATTTAATACAAGTTGTGAGATATTAGGGAAGAGCTTGCTACTCAGTGTTTAAGTTGTTGTCATTTCTGAGCAGCTTTTTGAATTTTTTGGGCAACCAAAGTGATGGTGGCCTTCATGCATCAAATATAAGGACACACCATGACTTAAACTTTAGCTAATGTCCTAAAAGTGTCTGCTGTGTGTGTGTGTGTGTGTGTGTGTGTGTGTGTGTGTGTGTGTGTGTGTGTGTGTGTGTGTGTGTGTGTGTGTGTGTGTGTGTGTGTGTGTGGGTGGGTGGGTGGGTTGGGTATGTGGTTGTGTCTAGCATTACTATACTTGTGGGGACCTAAATATGTTTACACAGTCACGTGTGGGGACTCGCCTCCCTTATGGGGTCATAATGGAGGTCCCCATAAGGGGAATCATTCATTTTAGGGTGAAGACTTGGTTAGGGTAAGGGTCATGTGTTGGTTATGGTTAGGATAAGTCTCCAGGAAATGCATGTAAGTCAATGTAATGTCCCCTGAAGTGATGTATACATGGTATGTGTGTGTGTGTGTGTGTGTGTGTGTGTGTGTGTGTGTGTGTGTGTGTGTGTGTGTGTGTGTGTGTGTGTGTGTGTGTGTGTGTGTGTGTGTGTGTGTGTGTGTGTGTGTGTGTGTGTGTGTTGCAGACACCTGCAGCTCTCCGCTGTGACCCAGATGAAGAACAGATTATCTAAATCTGTTTCATCAGGGTCACATTTATTTGCCTTTTATTACTGTCCTAACTCACCTCTGCTGCAGGCCACACACACACACACACACACACACACACACACACACACACACACACACACACACACACACACACACACACACACTTATATGTCTTTATTGTAATTTTTCTATTTTGTCAACCAATTTTATTAAACTCAAGTTGATGACAAAACAAACGTAGACATGCTGTGAAATTGCAATATCATCATGTTTAAGGAAACCTATATGCAACAAAAGTTAGTAATACCTACAAAAAAAAGTTGTTTGGGGCCATATGTATGGAAATAAAAATAATAAAGTACCTAACTCCCACTATATGCATGATTTTAAGTGTATGTATGATCTATATTGAGTCCACTGTTTTGTTTACATGTTGACTACAGATAATAGTGATGCTGTTTTCTTGCAGGTTTTCCCTCCCTCTCGTTGTATTTATCCGTCTCCTCTCTCTGTGTTTCAGGGTGCAGCAGTGGGCGTCGGTGTTTTCCGTTCAGCTGCGAGAATTAACCATTAAATACTCCGGCTCCCAGCTGCTGCAGAAGGTGAGCAAAATAAGAAATAATCTCTGTGTCAAACAAATGTTTATGGTACTGACACGTTTTGTTCAGCAGGATCATCTCCACATACTAACACCACTTTATGATATCTGAAATAATAAGCTGACGTTATATGACGGCTATAAAGGAACTACCAACACAGTCTCACGGCATTTCGTGTTATAGTCACGACATTAATCTATTGATTCGTGTTCACCAACACGATTTCGCCATTTTTTTCGTGTCACACAGAACGATTTTAAAAGCAATGTAAATAATAACAAATTAGAAGGAAAAAGACATTTAAAAAAATACAGATTTCAGTATTCTGACACAGAACGATTTTAGAAGCAATGTATTTATATTGGTAGTATGTTTCGTGCCTGCACCAAATAATAACAAATTAGAAGGAAAAAAAGATGACATAAAATACAGATTTCAGTATTCTGAGGCTCTGAGCCATTTATTTTCCTCGCTGACGGCACAAAAACTCAGACATTATACAATTTCAAATAAAAGGGATAGGGTTAGGCTTAGGGTAAGATATTGAGTAAGAACATGTTTTTATGAACCACACAGCTTCTGGTCTTCCAAGACCCGACCGGACAAAAAGACGTGTTGCAGGCACGAAACATACTACCAATAGAAATACATTGCTTTTAAAATCGTTCTGTGTGACACGAAAAAAATGCGAAAATCGTGTTGGTGAACACGAATCAATAGATTAAATTAATTTCGTGACTAATAACACGAAATGCCGTGAGACTTGGCTATAAAGGAACTACAGCACGATCACATGACTTCACGTCCCCACCGCTAAGCTAAAGGTGGCTAATGTTGGGCTATAAAGGAACTACAGCACGGTCACATGACTTCACGTCACCACCGCTAAGCTAAAGGTGGCTAATGTTGGGCTATAAAGGAACTACAGCACGGTCACATGACTTCACGTCACCACCGCTAAGCTAAAGGAGGCTAATGTTGGGCTATAAAGGAACTACAGCACGGTCACATGACTTCATGTCACCACCGCTAAGCTAAAGGTGGCTAATGTTGGGCTATAAAGGAACTACAGCACGGTCACATGACTTCACGTCACCACCGCTAAGCTAAAGGCGGCTAATGTTGGGCAGGAAGTGCTAAGTTGCTGACTGGTTTTAGGACTCTTTCCTGTACCTCTCTGTGAAGTTAGGGAGTTTTTTTTTTTTAAATGTTCATAGTAGCTAGGGTGTTGTACTAACACTAAATGTTATTATGGCTCCAGTTTCTATACAAACAGTATCCGGATCTACAAGAAACGGATCTCATTTACGTTGGAGAGAGCCGAGCTTTATAGTTACAGGTGGCGCTGATTGGATCAATGCCTGGCGCAACATTACAATAAAATAAGCTTAAAACAATGGCTTCACAATATATTTAGAACAATCACTGCGGCCCGGTTGGGAATGCACTCTGTCTTCTATCCTAGGATGATACCAAATAAATAAAAATACTAAAATGGATTGTTAAATATGCTCAAGAAGCTGTTAATACCTCGGTGACACACCTAAGGAAAGTCTATTTCGAGGAAACAGTGATTTACATTTTATATTTATGTGGGAGAGACACTTCCTCTGGAGGGAACACACAGATTTAAGCCTTTGCAGACCATTTACATGCACTAAAACCTATAGAACACACTACAGGAGAGGAAACACCCCAAAAAAAATATTAAAATGTTGTATTTAGTTGTTAACAATCGTCTTATTTTCACCATCCTCATATGAGTTGTTAATATGACAAAGCTGCAAATATATATATTACCTCATTGCTAATGTATGCATCCTGCTAACAGCTGTTTAAAAGGTATACAATATTTGTATTAATGTGTTTGATATCGAGGCTTCAGCATTTCATCGAGACTGTTTCATAATCAGTTGGAAACTACTCGCCTTACTTTAAAAAGCCTTTTTTGTTTTGGTGGGTTGACCTTTAAATATTAAAGCAGGATGACGTTTGGTTTTGGATTAGAGACGTCAGATCATATGATGTAATGTTTGTATTTGACCCATAAAAGTTAAACTAACCCATGAAAAGAAAAGCAGATGAATTTCAAAATCAAAGACCAACAGATGTTAAACTGGTTAAACTGGGAACACTCAGACACAGAGAGAGTCAGTGTGTGGTTGTTTTTACCAGGGAACACACACACGTTGATACACACACACACACACACACACACACACACACACACACACACACACAAACACACACACACACACACACAAACACACACACACTCAGGGATCATGGTAATGCCCAGATTGAGGACCGAGCCCTCTTTACCGGCGTCAGGATTTGTGGCCTGTTCTGATTTTAGACATTCATCCATTTATCCTTCAGATTTAGATTCATTCAGTCTGCTCTCACAAACACACACAACAACAACATCAACATATTATTATTTACCAAATTAATGTTTAAAGAGTCCTCTCCTGTTGATGTTCAGGTGTATATCAGTATGTAGTGTCTCTACTTTAAAGAGTCCTCTCCTGCTGATGTTCAGGTGTATATCAGTATGTAGTGTCTCTACTTTAAAGAGTCCTCTCCTGTTGATGTTCAGGTGTATATCAGTATGTAGTGTCTCTACTTTAAAGAGTCCTCTCCTGCTGATGTTCAGGTGTATATCAGTATGTAGTGTCTCTACTTTAAAGAGTCCTCTCCTGCTGATGTTCAGGTGTATATCAGTATGTAGTGTCTCTACTTTAAAGAGTCCTCTCCTGCTGATGTTCAGGTGTATATCAGTATGTAGTGTCTCTACTTTAAAGAGTCCTCTCCTGCTGATGTTCAGGTGTATATCAGTATGTAGTGTCTCTACTTTAAAGAGTCCTCTCCTGCTGATGTTCAGGTGTATATCAGTATGTAGTGTCTCTACTTTAAAGAGTCCTCTCCTGCTGATGTTCAGGTGTATATCAGTATGTAGTGTCTCTACTTTAAAGAGTCCTCTCCTGCTGATGTTCAGGTGTATATCAGTATGTAGTGTCTCTACTTTAAAGAGTCCTCTCCTGCTGATGTTCAGGTGTATATCAGTATGTAGTGTCTCTACTTTAAAAAGTCCTCTCCTGCTGATGTTCAGGTGTATATCAGTATGTAGTGTCTCTACTTTAAAGAGTCCTCTCCTGCTGATGTTCAGGTGTATATCAGTTAGTAGTGTCTCTACTTTAAAGAGTCCTCTCCTGCTGATGTTCAGGTGTATATCAGTATGTAGTGTCTCTACTTTAAAGAGTCCTCTCCTGCTGATGTTCAGGTGTATATCAGTATGTAGTGTCTCTATTTTAAAGAGTCCTCTCCTGCTGATGTTCAGGTGTATATCAGTATGTAGTGTCTCTACTTTAAAGAGTCCTCTCCTGCTGATGTTCAGGTGTATATCAGTATGTAGTGTCTCTACTTTAAAGAGTCCTCTCCTGCTGATGTTCAGGTGTATATCAGTATGTAGTGTCTCTACATGTCTCCATGCTTTAATGTTCAAAAAGCTCTTTATTTTTCTCATACTGCCTGTGCTGCAGCACCTCTTTTCACCCTCTGTCTGAAACCAGAGCCCAGTCTGCTCTGATTGGTCAGCTGGCCGGCTCTGTTGTGATTGGCTCATTGAGTTTTGCTCGGACTAATTGGACTCTGACCCTATAGTTCAGAGAGGAAGATACCAGATCAACCGCACCTCATATATATATATATTTATATATTGGTCCATATGGGTCCGATGTTTCCATTAAATTCACTTTTGAGTCTGACTCCAGGGGAATTATCCCTTTGATATAGTTATGCAATAAATAACGTATTTTTGTAGGGTACCCTGAAGGCAGCATCCCCTTTACTCGTCACTTCTCCACAGAGTGAATGCTCACAGAGTTGTGTTTGTCTCCCCGTCAGAAACTGAAGGATGTGGAGCCCATCATTAAGATGGTGGATCTGAACGGGAACAACCTGGTGAAGGATTACTCCGACGAGATCGAGCGCTTGTTGGGAAAGAAGATGAAGTCTGTGAGGGTGAGGAAAGAACAGACCCCCCATTAAACATGTCAAACAAAACCTCTCAGATTCAAGTTTTCTAAGATTTAACAACTTTTACACATTTCTGATCAACGAAGATTTACTTTTTTATGACGAAAGCTTAGACAGTATCAGCTAATTATTAAATTGTGAATATGATAATATTATATTATAAAATACACAGTTCTTGAGAAATATTGAATATAAAACGCTTAAATAAGATGGTTTTTAAAGGTTTGGTTGCTCACAGCACTTGTTGATTAATGAGACATTGCTTCATTTTTAAATACATATTCACAATCCTTAAAATCAACACGTTTAATAACAGGTGTTTCTCGTTGTTTTAATTCTGACTGTGTGTGTTTTTGTGTCAGAGGTTAGCGGAGTCTGCAGAGGACGCTGACCTGTACCACGAGTTCAACGCCACATTACAGGTGGGTGCTCTGTTATTATACGTATTTGTATTTCTCTAAGCCCACTAAACACATGCAAACATTTGGTAAACCTACAGGACATTCACTTTCTTTTTTATATATTTCAATCTTAATAATATCTTTTGTCATATTTTTTTACATCCTCGCCGCACAAAAATATATTCTTTAAACCATTGAATCCTTACATTTAAATAAAGTAATAATAACAACGTATTTTGTATTTATTAAATCAACTTTGAATGCTTGCTTTTGTCCTTTTACAGTGTTAGTTGACATAACAAAGTCTTGATGGAGCTCCAAACAAATGGAAATAAAAACTATAATCCTTATTTATGGAACAATTTTAGTATAAAGTGTCAGAGCCGACACAGATTTGGTCTCATTCTGTTTATATACATGTCATTGTAATTGCTTTAATGAATGCATACGTGTGCCTCATTTTGTTTGCAGCAAAAAGCTTAAGAGTAACTCTCTTTTGATTGCATTGAAAATGTAGTATTTGAAGCTAAACACTAAAAAAATATGTATAAAAACGGAATCTTTGGTTAGAAAAAAAAACACATTGTGAATTTGAACATAATTACATTTATATATATAAATATATTTTTTAACAGCTGAATATATTCAAGTGAAAGGAGCCTCTAATCTGTGATTTTCTTTGTAAAAGGCTGCATATCCAGTACAATACCCCTAAAAAGTGGTATTTTACTGTAAATGCATTATAAACCCCTCATTAAAGGTGGGGTAGGTAAGTTTGAGAAACCGGCTCGAGATCGCTAGAATTTGAAAATACACAGCCGGAAAAAATCTGCCACTTCCTTACAGAGCCCCTCCTCCAACACACACGAACGCGCACATGACCAATGAGGGCACGAGATAAGTTTGTGCACAGATGGAAGGGTGACAGGCAGGTAGGCCATCCAGTTATTTTAGCCGGGCCGGCTCAGATGATTGGTCGTGCTTTTTACAGTACTACGGCTTCCACAGATGATATTTATTATGGATTTTTTGTCAAAGCATTTAATATATTCATTGCTATCGGGATGTTAAGAGCATTGCATGGAATGTAACAAAAAGTGTTTCTGAAGTGAATTACCTACCCCACCTTTAACATGCTGTGTATTTCTGTTTTGGAACAGACTAAATATGGGTTAAAGCAGAATATTTGGTCAGACAAAAACATATTGAGCATTTTGGAGCTGTTTAAATCTCTATTATATCATCACACTGGACTCTACTTCTACTAATGGAACAAAGCTAATATAATTTATGTAGTCTTATCGCTGATTCTGTGCACAAATACTGGCTTCTTTAACCCTAAATAAAAAGCCAAGAATAAACACAGAACATGTATTTATTTATAGATCTGTGGTGGACTTTATGAATGAAGCTCTGCAGTTCTGTGTTTATCCTCAGATAATCCCTGTACCGTCTGACGCCTCTAATCTGTCATTTGCTCGTCTCAGCTGCTTTAAACTCAGTGCTAATGTTAGCATGCATGCTAACGGCGTTTAGATCAGAGGTGGAGCAGATTTAAAGCCTCAGCTGACACCTGGAATTAGATCAAACTCCTCTGATCCTGAGAGGAAACCAGGTCACACTGCAGCGGGGGAACAACACACAGGAACATATCAACAACATATCAAAACAATACACATTACGGCCTTTTAGACCTGTTTGATTGGTTTGTTAGAAAACTGGACAACCAACACATTGCTAAATATCTCTGAACAAGGAACATGTAAACAAGTTGTTCAACCAATTTCACGTAAAGAAATCTGAGTTAAACCAACTAAGACTGACATGAAGGCATAACAACGAACATACTAAGAGATAACTCATATTAGAGCAAGCATTAAGAAACATATCTATAGAAAACAATATACAATTTAAGTTTGATTCTTAGCATCTTATTCTGAAAGGCTGTCCTACTTCCTGTCTCCCATCAGTTCGATTATTGGTATCTTATTCTGAAAGGCTGTCCTACTTCCTGTCTCCCATCAGTTCGATTATTGTTATCTTATTCTGAAAAGCTGTCTCACTTCCTGTCTCTAGTCAGTTTGATTCTTAGCATCTTATTCTGAAAGGCTGTCCCACTTCCTGTCTCCCCTCATCTTATTCTGAAAGGCTATCCCACTTCCTGTCTCTAGTCAGTTTGATTCTTAGCATCTTATTCTGAAAGGCTGTCCCACTTCCTGTCTCCCCTCATCTTATTCTGAAAGGCTATCCCACTTCCTGTCTCTAGTCAGTTTGATTGTTTGCATTTTATTCTGAAAGGCTGTTCCACTTCCTGTCTCCCCTCATCTTATTCTGAAAGGCTATCCCACTTCCTGTCTCTAGTCAGTTTGATTGTTTGCATTTTATTCTGAAAGGCTGTTCCACTTCCTGTCTCCCCTCATCTTATTCTGAAAGGCTATCCCACTTCCTGTCTCCATTCAGTTTGATTCTTAGCATCTTATCCTGAAAGTCTGTCCCACTTCCTGTCTCATGTCACTTTGATTCTTGGTATTTTATTCTGAAAGGCTGTCCCACTTCCTGTCTCCCCTCAGTTTGATTACTACAATTCGATGCTAATAAACTCAGGGGACGAGGACGGAAACAGTCCAGATATGGGCGCTGAGTTTCCTCTGGAGGAAAGCGAGCACTTCAACAACCTGCGTGTCAACATGTTGCTGAGCGACATCCAGGTTCCAACCAACGTCTTCAACAAAGGTCAGAGGTCAACCTGTGTGTCTGAACATACATACAATGTTCAGGTGTATATCAGTATGTAGTGTTTCTACTTTAAAGAGTCCTCTCCTGCTGATGTTCAGGTGTATATCAGTATGTAGTGTCTCTACTTTAAAGAGTCCTCTCCTGCTGATGTTCAGGTGTATATCAGTATGTAGTGTCTCTACTTTAAAGAGTCCTCTCCTGCTGATGTTCAGGTGTATATCAGTATGTAGTGTCTCTACTTTAAAGAGTCCTCTCCTGCTGATGTTCAGGTGTATATCAGTATGTAGTGTCTCTACTTTAAAGAGTCCTCTCCTGCTGATGTTCAGGTGCATGTATATCAGTATGTAGTGTCTCTACTTTAAAGAGTCCTCTCCTGCTGATGTTCAGGTGTATATCAGTATGTAGTGTCTCTACTTTAAAGAGTCCTCTCCTGCTGATGTTCAGGTGTATATCAGTATGTAGTGTCTCTACTTTAAAGAGTCCTCTCCTGCTGATGTTCAGGTGTATATCAGTATGTAGTGTCTCTACTTTAAAGAGTCCTCTCCTGCTGATGTTCAGGTGTATATCAGTATGTAGTGTCTCTACTTTAAAGAGTCCTCTCCTGCTGATGTTCAGGTGTATATCAGTATGTAGTGTCTCTACTTTAAAGAGTCCTCTCCTGCTGATGTTCAGGTGTATATCAGTATGTAGTGTCTCCACTTTAAAGAGTCCTCTCCTGCTGATGTTCAGGTGTATATCAGTATGTAGTGTCTCTACTTTAAAGAGTCCTCTCCTGCTGATGTTCAGGTGTATATCAGTATGTAGTGTCTCTACTTTAAAGAGTCCTCTCCTGCTGATGTCCAGGTGTATATCAGTATGTAGTGTCTCTACTTTAAAGAGTCCTCTCCTGCTGATGTTCAGGTGTATATCAGTATGTAGTGTCTCTACTTTAAAGAGTCCTCTCCTGCTGATGTTCAGGTGTATATCAGTATGTAGTGTCTCTACTTTAAAGAGTCCTCTCCTGCTGATGTTCAGGTGTATATCAGTATGTAGTGTCTCTACTTTAAAGAGTCCTCTCCTGCTGATGTTCAGGTGTATATCAGTATGTAGTGTCTCTACTTTAAAGAGTCCTCTCCTGCTGATGTTCAGGTGTATATCAGTATGTAGTGTCTCTACTTTAAAGAGTCCTCTCCTGCTGATGTCCAGGTGTATATCAGTATGTAGTGTCTCTACTTTAAAGAGTCCTCTCCTGCTGATGTTCAGGTGTATATCAGTATGTAGTGTCTCTACTTTAAAGAGTCCTCTCCTGCTGATGTGCAGGTGTATGAAGTGGTGCAGTAGATCTCTATAAATGTTATGTTTTTCTGTTCTTGTTCCTGCAGATCCGAACATCCTGAATTCGATCTATAACTCGGAGGCGCTGAACGATGTTTTTATCGGAAACTTCCAGAAAGATCCCACGCTCACCTGGCAGTTCTTCGGCAGCTCCACCGGGTTCTTCCGGATCTTTCCCGGTCAGTTTACAGAAGCACATTTGTTTAAAATGTTTAATGAAATAACTGATAAAGCATGCACTAAATATATAATATCTGTGTGTCTCCTTTTGAAAGAAAAGTAAAAACCAAAAGGGAGAAATCTGTCTCTTTTTTTAAAGTTAAAGTGTTAAACGCTCTTATCTCACCTGTCAGGTATTAAATGGACTCCAGACTCTAACGGTGTTGCAGCTTTCGACTGCAGGAACAGAAACTGGTGAGTTCACTCCAACACATACTACTTTCATACTCCATAACACAGTGACGTCACTATGTAACACTCACACTTCTATTAGCTAGCGCTCCAACACATTGTATGAGATAGGCTAGGGGGCGGGACATCTCACAGTGGTTGACCAATGACAACAGAGCCGGCTTGCTAACCAACATCAGCAGGAGAGGACTCTTTAAAGTAGAGACACTACATACTGATATACACCTGAACATCAGCAGGAGAGGACTCTTTAAAGTAGAGACACTACATACTGATATACACCTGAACATCAGCAGGAGAGGACTCTTTAAAGTAGAGACACTACATACTGATATACACCTGGACATCAGCAGGAGAGGACTCTTTAAAATAGAGACACTACATGCTGATATACACCTGAACATCAGCAGGAGAGGACTCTTTAAAGTAGAGACACTACATACTGATATACACCTGAACATCAGCAGGAGAGGACTCTTTAAAGTAGAGACACTACATACTGATATACACCTGAACATCAGCAGGAGAGGACTCTTTAAAGTAGAGACACTACATACTGATATACACCTGAACATCAGCAGGAGAGGACTCTTTAAAGTAGAGACACTACATACTGATATACACCTGAACATCAGCAGGAGAGGACTCTTTAAAGTAGAGACACTACATGCTGATATACACCTGAACATCAGCAGGAGAGGACTCTTTAAAGTAGAGACACTACATACTGATATACACCTGAACTTATCATAGAAGCTGATGCCCAATTTCCAAAGTAGGACATTATTTAAATTATTTAAACCCTTGCCAAGTGAATGCCTATGCAAAAACATTGACAAAAAGAAATCAATAATGCCCTTAATGAGGCACAAAGGTTAAAAACCTTCACTAAACTGATGCTTAATTCTGCTCTAAAGTGTGTCTATTTTTAGAATACAAGAGAAACAATTAGAGTGTGTGTGTGTGTGTGTGTGTGTGTGTGTGTGTGTGTGTGTGTGTGTGTGTGTGTGTGTGTGTGTGTGTGTGTGTGTGTGTGTGTGTGTGTGTGTGTGTGTGTGTGTGTGTGTGTGTGTGTGTGTGTGTGTGTGTGTGTGTGTGTGTGTGTGTGTGTGTGTGTGTGTGTGTGTGTGTGTGTGTGTGTGTGTGTGTGTGTGTGTGTGTGTGTGTGTGTGTGTGTGTGTGTGTGTGTGTGTGTGTGTGTGTGTGTGTGTGTGTGTGTGTGTGTGTGTGTGTCCTGATCCTCTGAAAGACGATAATCTTCTCCTTAGCGGCTCACTGCTGCACACATGGCACCATATGCGACTGTTCATGCCTTTCAAATAATACCAGAGCGCTGCATATGTCCCTGAACGCCTCGCGGTGCTGCAGCTGCACGCATTTATTCATTCATATCAATCATCAGAATGATGTTTACATCAAAGCAGGATAGTCAATAACCAGGGGTGGGGAGTAGAGGAGTACAAATACTTTGTTACTGTACTTAAGTACATGTTTCTGGTATCAGTACTTTACTCCACTACTTATTTTTCTGATGACTTTTACCTTTGACTTCTTACATTTTGAACCCAAATACCTGTACTTTCTACTTCTTACATTTTGAACACAAATACCTGTACTTTCTACTTCTTACATTTTGAACACAAATACCTGTACTTTCTACTTCTTACATGTTGAACACAAATACCTGTACTTTCTACTTCTTACATGTTGAACACAAATACCTGTACTTTCTACTTCTTACATGTTGAACACAAATACCTGTACTTTCTACTTCTCACATTTTCCAAACAGGCTGGTTCCTTTAGTTTGAATGTGTGTTTGGTAGCGTGATCATTATTATTTAGAGTCATTGCGTGCCTATTGATTTGAACACGATCCGTGTATCCATCATTTCCTGGTCTTCTCTAAAGAAGAGGGACCAATGAAAACGTTGTCATGTTGCCGTTGTTCAGCATGGAAACATTCATTAGGTAACAATGACATTATTGTTCTATTAATATAAAGGGAGGTCAGGTACTCTTTAAAACAGCTGCTAGTTATGGGTACTTTTTACTGAAGTACATTTCAAAGCCCTCTTTACTTTTACTTGAGTAAAGAAGTTTAGTCAGTACTTCTACTTTTACCAGAGTATTTTTAAACACGAGTATCTGTACTTCTACTTGAGTAAAGCATGTGTGTACTTTTGCCCTCTCTGCCAATAACTAAGGATTTTAATGGCGTTCAGTGCATTCACTAAATATGAATATGAAGTCCAATAAAATATTAAAACCACATTTCAGAGATTTGAAGTCAATAAATAACTTATTCAAAATGTGTATCCTATTTTCATATTTTAGTTATACTAGTTTAGTATCCTCTGTTTATATTTTATATTTTATCCATTGTAATCTTGTGGTGCGTTCAGGTATATTCAGGCAATAATCAATGTTTTGTTCATGTTGCATTCAGGGACATTCAAGCAATAATAACTTTTCTGTGGTGGTGGTGCATTCAGGGAGATCCGTGCAATAATCAGTATTCGGTGGTGGTGTGTTCAGGTACACAGACGTAATACTCAATCTCCTCATGTGTCAGTAATAAGTATGGTGCATTCAGGTATTCAGGAAGTAATAGTTGTTCTGTGACGGTGCGTTCATGTACATCCGATCATTAACTCATAGAATGAGTCTTCTCTCGTGGTGCGTTCAGGTACATCCAGGTAATAATGGGTCTTCTCTCGTGGTGCGTTCATGTACATCCAGGTAATAATGAGTCCCCTCTCGTGGTGCGTTCAGGTACATCCAGGCCGCCACCTCCCCCAAAGACATCATCATCATGGTGGACATCAGCGGCAGCATGAAGGGTCTGAAGATGACCATCGCAAAACACACCATCAACACAATCCTGGACACACTGGGGGAGAACGACTTCGTCAACGTGATCGCTGTGAGACACACACACACACACACACACACACACACACACACACACACACACACACACACACACACACACACACTACATCAATAACTATACTCACTATTAGGTCAACTGTGAAGGAAGTATTCAGATCTCTATTTTAAATTAACATACTTATACCATGCTAGAAGAATACAGAAACAGTCCACACACACACACACACACACACACACACACACACACACACACACACACACACACACATTCTATTTTATCCTATGTTTTTATTGTGTATTGTGTTTTTAGCACTTCTTACCACGTGGCTTGTGTGGTCATTTATTCCTTTATGATTCCTATGATGTTTTAATGTTTGTCAAGCTCTTTGCGAAAAGCGCTTTATAAATACATTTGACTTACTTACTAATCTGAAGCGGTATGGAATAATCGCTTTATCAGTTTTTGTTGGCAAAAGAAATCTTAATTTGTAAAGTTACTCAAGCTGTCAGATGCAGTGGAATAGAAGTATACATCATCATGAATACTTAAGTCCAAGTACCTCCCTTGGACTTAAGTAAAGTACTTGAATAAATGTATTTAGTTCCTTTGCACTGACAGTATATTGTTTGGTGGGAATTGAACCGGTGACCTCCTCTCTTCAGTACACAGATTACATTCGTTACGTGGAGCCGTGCTTCAAAGGAACCCTGGTGCAGGCTGACCTGGACAACAGAGAGGTAACACACACACACACACACACACACACACACACACACACACACACACACACACACACACACACACACACACACACACACACACACATACACATACCATGTATACATCACTTCAGGGGACATTACATTGACTTACGTGCATTTCCTGGAGACTTATCCTAACCTTAACCATAACCAACACATGCCTAACCCTTAACCTTAACCTTACCCTAACCCTAAACCTAACCAAGTCTTCACGCTAAAATTAATGATTCTCCTCATGGGGACCTCCATTATGTCCCCATAAGGGAGGCGAGTCCCCACACGTGACTGTGTAAACAGATTTAGGTCCCCACAAGTATAGTAATGCTAGGCCACACACACACATTTTTCAATTTTTATTGTATTGCTTTTCTACTATTTTTGTCATGAATACTTAAAATATTACAATACCAAAAACATTCCTTTCAATCTTACCTTTCACAATAAGAGCCCTAGAGACGACTAACCTGACACAATTAAGGGCTACAAATAAACACCATTTGAACAGGT